CTGAGCAGGGGGTTGGACTAGATGACCTCCAAGGTCCCTTCCAACTTTATTATTATTATTATTATTATTATTATTATTATTATTATTATTATTATTATTATTATTATTATTAAGCTCAGTTTGTCTGTGACAAACAAAATTAAGGGAAAATGAAGTCTGCTGTTTTTTTCAGAACAGAGAAATTCTGCTTGCGACGGAATGATATACCATTAACTCTATACCATTGCAATCACCATCCATCCCTAGCTAGTTTTGAAAACTTTCCAGTGCTAATAGTGAAAAATGGCAAAGAACAAAGCTTCAAACTGCCGCTCTAATTGCTCTCCAGCCTAATATTTAAGCATGCAACTTAAGAAGGAAGGAAGTCTTGATTAGCTGTAGATGAAAAGTCAATTATTTCAGAACACGTAGGATGGAATTTATGTCTTCACTAATGAACTGCTCTTTATGTCCTTAAATCTTTAAAAGGGAGGATGGGAGAACTCAGAACCAACTAATTTAATTTTCCGGGCTATTTTTCTTCTTCTATGTTGATAGAGTAAAAGGTTTAAAAAAAAAACACCTGATATTGGTCTTTCTTTCTACTGTTGAGAGGAGGGAAAAATAGGGTCAAGGGTAGCTATAAAGTTAATTTCCTGGAAATGCCTTGATTGTTTCGTTGACAACCCCTTGCAGCAGCAGCTCACAACTCTGAAAAGTAGATTGGAGTAGACAGTTTCTACAACTTCCCAATGGCTGGTCATCTCATGTTAGTTATTGCTAGCTTGCTAGTTGCTTATATTTTCTGAATCGAATGATACTTGCTAAAACATTTGTTATCATTCTTTTTTTCCCCCCTGTACGGCAATCTACAGTTAGATTCACAGTCTAAGACTGGCGGAAAAGTAATACAGGTAATCCTCGAGATTGGTTAAGTGAATTTTGCCCCATTTTACAGCCTTTCTTGTCACAGTTGTTGAGCAAAATCACTGCACTTGTTTTAAGTTAGCAACATGGTTGTTAAATGAATTTGGCCTCCCCTTTGACTTTGCTCGTCAGAAGATCGCAGAACGGGATCAGGTGATGGCCGGATATTGCAACCATCATAAATATGAACCTGTTGCCAAGCATCTGAATTTTGATCACGCGACCCTTGGGATACGGCAACGGTCGTAAGTGTGAAAAACGGTCGTAAGTCACTTTTTCCAATGCCGTTGTAATGGTCACTAAATGAACAGTTGTAAGTCCTAACCAGAGACTTCAGAATGATTAAGGTGGACATCTAAAAATGTAGGTGGATCCAAGCATTATGTCAAGCTCTATACAAGTCCCTTCCCTGCCGTACAACTTAATTTTTTTTCTAAGGAACCAAAACCCATATCTAACACATTATTTTGGAGCGAGCAATCCCTATATAGCAGTGGTGCCGAACCTATGGCACGGGTGCCAGAGGCGGCACTCGGAGCCCTCTCTGTGGGCACATGTGCCGTTGCCCCAGCCTCGCATCCCCCCACGACTCACTCCTCTCCAGCAGCTCCCCTGGAGGAGAGTCACCCCCGAGCATGGCCCATGCGGAGCAGTGCAGCCAAGGACATGGCAGCCAGGCAGCGTAGACAAGACTCTGCCCTCATGCCCCATCGTGCGGGCAGAGGGCGTGGCCGCCATGGTGCTGCTGGGCTGCCTGGGTGATCTGCGGTGGGCCCTGGAGGCGGTGAGTGGCCCTGCGGGCAGGTGGGATGGGGGATGGGGTGGGGACGGAGCAGGGGCGGGGCAGGGGGTGGACCGGGGGCGGGGCCAGTTTTTGGTTCACTCGGTCTCTAAAAGGTTCACCATCCCTGCTATATAGGACAAAACAAGCTTGAGAAAACTAGAAAAAAATCTATCCGGTTTTCTTCCCTGTTTGCGTCTCAAAAACCTGCTATGTAATAAAGACCTTCCAACAGATTTTAATCATTGGGTTTAATGAATGCATGGAGGGTTTTCTTCTTTTTTTTAACAAGAGCAAGCTGGCTGAACCTATTAGTTTATTTTGATTATTAAACGTGGAAGGCGTCTGCTCACCACACATCTAGTCTTTTTTATATTAGTTCCACATCGGTCCTAGCTCTGATTTTTTTTTTTAATCAAAACAGTATTCAGAATATGATTCCAAAAGATTATATTTTGAGAGATTTGCGATACATATCTTGCTGGAATGACAGATTGCAGGGAAATTGGAGATAGCTGGATAATCTGCAGCAAGGCCTGTTTGACCTTTAATAATAAGAGAAGAAGAGGGAAGGGGAAGTCAAAGCAAATCTTAAAAGACTCCTGATCGGTCATCTTAATTCAGTCGTTGATTCATCAGACCTCACTGGTTGTAACCTTAAGGGTGACCTATAATCAAGGCCTCTTGAATTTCATAAGGAAAATCAACAGAGTTGGAATTCTACCAAGAACAACAATTGGAAATGGTTGGCCTGGTGGCTAAAGATTTGTGTAGCATGGGAGTTAAGTGTAGATAGGTTTCCCATATTCACCCATAAGTAGGAGGTGCCATTTCTGGTTGCTTCCATAACTGAGGTCAAGAGTAATGGTCCAGCTTGAAAAAAACTTTCAGTTTCCTCCTCTAAACATCAAACCTCAAAAGATCAAAGCCATTGATCCAAGGGCCACTTTTCTCCAAGGTAGTCTGCTTGTGTGCCGTCTCTTTATCCTTAGGACAAAATTGGCCCAAACTGTGTTTTGCATTACATTAGGATTAGATCATGGCAGTCATGGGCTTTAAATAGCTGGATCCACTGATGTTTGTTTCTAGATTTCAGGCATAAAAGACATGATGGGACTATTTGATGGAATATCAATATATACCTGGTGTACGTACCTCTTGAGAAAGACTGGGAGGAGATATCAAGAGGTCTGCCTTGCAAAAGCCTCTGAAGGGGGCTAATACTCTTTAATACAAGCACTAATCCTTCAAAATCTGGCTTGAAATCATGTTTATCTTTCTACAGCTTAATTTCTGTGCCTGCAAACTGCAGGTCAGCCCTCGGCTTGGGTTGTTCCTTCCTTGATCTCCTGTCCTCGCCCAAAAAGAATGTCAGAAAGGAGATGCATAACAGAAAATATGAATAGATCACGCCTAGGTACCTGAATGACGATTTATGAAGTTGGATAGAGTTGGATCTAAATTAAGAATAAAGGGTTTGTACATATGTACAATACACATATATCATCAAATGGTGCTTAGTTTGAAGAGCTTGGATGAACAATCATTCTTTAAACATTACACTGTTCTGGAACAGAAGAGTTAGGTCACATAGATTTCCAAATGTACCACTTTCAACTCAAGAAACTGCTTTTTCAATGCCATGGCTGTGTTCGGAGTTAACTTCAGATGTTATCAAAACTGTGCTACCTATGATTGATCATCCATAATGTCTCTTTTATTTGCCAAGGAGCAAGTGACACTCAGCAAACCCACAGTGCGTAAACATTTCTGCTTATTTTTTTATTTATACTCCTTTGGTAAATGCACTAAAACGTAACTGGGCCTACGTTTGTTCCAGGATGCGCTTTGAAAGCAGCTGACAATTGTGTGAAAAAAATTACAACCACCATTGATATAATCTATAAAACAGATGTTATTTGGGGAGTTAGGGTCCAATTTCAATTACAGGTCATCCTCAAGTTACAACCATTTATTTAACGACCGTTCAAAGAATGCTACAAAAGGGAAAGGCAGCTGCTGAATGCTTTCTGGAGGTTAGCTGTATGGATTAACTGACCCTCAAATGTATTTTTGGAATCACTCCTAATTTTTGCTGAATTGTGTGTAGTTTCCTTTCGGCAAAATTGGATTGAGGACTCTGTCTGAAAGGTGCTTTTTTAAAAAGCAGCGTTTAGACTTTCTTTGTTTCTCCTTCAAGACGTTTTGCTTTTCATCCAAGAAGCTTCTTCGGTTCTCGAAGCTTCTTGGATGAGAAGCGAAACATCTTCAAGGAAAAACAAAGAAAGTCTAAAAGTTGCTTTTTAAACAAGCACCTTTGGGACAACCATGGACCTGGATGATTGAGAATCTCCATAGATAGTGAGGACTCTAGTAGAAAGGTTAGGACTTCAGATATGGCCACCTATTATGCAAATTCCCGTTTCAAATAATGCACTTGTGTTTGATCAGCCCTTTCATCTCTCTCCAAACATCTCTCTATTGGAAAAGGTTCATCTGCAGGGCTATAAATTCTCCTGGATGTGGAAATCAAATGTGCATCAGCTACACACACTTAAGAATCTTCCCTAAATATTTGGATGCCACTGGCCTGAAGATGTAGACTTTTAACCCATCTCCAATCCTGGTCTTTCTTCCACGCTTCACTCTTTCATCTTCTGCTCCTTTCCTGATCCATGTATCAGTCTCTACTCAATAACCAAGATCCATCCCACTGATTTATAAAAGCAGAATCCATTGGATAATATTGATCACAAATGACACACTGTAAAATGTTGACCCCGATGAACTTGGGGGAAAGCTAGTCTTGGGTTGATCTGCAGATGACCTCTTAATTAGCACAGTGATTAAATTATGGGCCTTGCTTGCAATGAGTCAAGGAACAAAGGCTTCATTCTTCTCTGGGCTTCAGCTCTGTTTATTTGTCTGCCCAGAGAGTGTTTGATGACACTTTTAATTAAGGAGAAAGAATGCCGAGTTATGTACTCCTTTCTGCCTCAACTTTGTCAGGGGCAATAATGCTCTTTTAACTAAACTGGGATGATGACCCACTAAGAATGTCCTACTTTATCCCTTCCTTGCCTTAAAGAAAATATTGTTGCCCCTATTGACAAGTCAGGCAGATATTCACAGACAAACTTTCACGCCAATTAGGATGAGTTATTCATAAAGAAAGCACCGAGATTGGTTGAATAAGAAATCCAGTCCAGAAAGGATAAAGATCGTGAGATTGCCATGCCACTGAATATTCCCAATCTACTTGAGAGTAACTTTGCTCACCAACATTTCTCTTTAGACCTTTTCTAGACCTTTATCAGAGCAGGTTGGTGACTTTGGAGCTGTCCATGGTATCCGAGCCAGGCTCATGCCCTTGTTTAACTCTGGCCTCAAAATTATCAGATTTAGAGGGATGTAAAACTCGAAAACGGGTACCAAACTATAGAACCAATTAAGTGGGACCCAGATTTGTGATTCATGGCTAAGACAGGTCTCACCAGGGATGCTCTAATCCTTGGATAAATCCTGGAAGCCTCTGTCATGGCTAGGGTGGAAAAAAGAAGAATGGACAGATGGATGGACAGATGGACAGGCAAAGGGGCAAACAGAGGGACTTAACTTAGTGTAATGTGTGAACCACATGACAATGGCGAGCCCCTATATCCTGATGCAGGTTCAATATACACCTCTTCCCAAGCTGAATTTACCTGACACAATAACTGTGAGTGTACAATAAATCTGAAAGAACCATGTGGACAGATAGTGGGGAAAACACACCAGTAAGGAAATTGTCCAAACCAGGATTTCAAAATATTATATAAGAAGCAAAACTGAGAGAATTCAATCAGTACTGATAGTAATGCAACTCAGTGAGTGCTGTTTCTCTCCCTTCCTCCCTCCCCACCCTCTCTTTTTCTCACACACATACTTCCTGCCTCTTACATTTCACATTTTTCTTGAACAGCATTCAGTTGTTGGATTTTTAATTAGAGAGTTTTAAAAATACTTTTCATGGTATCTTTGTACAAGGCAATAATAAACAAATGTGCAGGTTGAACTAGGGAAGGACTCTTTTGAAGAAACAGGACACACAAACACACTTAATTTAAAAAGGGGGGAAAGCAAGTATTCAAAAAAGAAAAATCTGAAAACCTGTTGGAACGATGTTAACCCCCACACATCCCGTACATATTTGGGATATGAAAAGAAAAAGAAAAAAGAAAGAAAGAGATTGGTTCAATAACCACATTGTTAGTTTCCATTATGCAGAGAATAACACATCTACAACAGACGCCAAGATCTCTCAAAAATCCAAAATACATTGGCAGAATTTTACTGGAGAGTCATAGTTCAATTAATGTAGTTTGATGACAAACGTAGTGCATGAGAGATGCTCATATAACATAGAAAAAACAGTTCCTATGTATGTTTTCTGGTAGGCCTTGTGATGGTGAAAGTTGTGTTATCTCTTCCCTTCCTCTGACAAGAGAAGCTGTAACACTCATTCATACTCTGAAGAGTGTTGAGAAAAAAATGAGACAGACAAAGAGAGATAACGGGTGTCTTCCCTGGAAGCCTGCTGTTTCCATACCTTCTTGAGAAGTTCAAGTAACATGGTGGTTTTCAATAACCTGAAAGACAGAAAAGGGATCTTATTAGCCAAAGTAAAGGTCTGATAAAGTATTTCTGATAAAGTACTCTATTCGCGATCTTGATCATTTAGTAGAGAGCAGGTGGCCTTTTTAAATATATTGATATGAAAGCAGACAGAGTTGAATTTGGATTCTGAACAACGTGGTCTTCAACCATGTTGTTACTGGTATGGCTTCCACTGCATTAATTTTTGCGTGACAATTACAGACAATCCCAATCTGTTGAAGTGCTAGAATTTTGCTTTGCTTTCTTTTTTCAGTTTTCATGATAAAAATACAATGGAACAATGTGGAGTGTTCTGTTATCTGAAATGTCTCCTGTTAAATTTTAGTTACTTCACTGGTCTTTTGTGAATTAATTAAAGTCACTACAAATGGATAGACTAGATCAGGGGTAGGCAACCTTGGCTCTTTTATGACTTGTGGACTTCAACTCCCAGAATTCCTGAGCCAGCCATACTGGCTCAGGAATTCTGGGAGTTGAAGCCCACGAGTCATAAAAGAGCCAAGGTTGCCTACCCCTGGACTAGATCAAAAATATGTAGACTTTGCCTGGGTACTAGATTAGACTATTATAAATGTTCTGCTTTTAGACCCTTGCATGTTCTTTTAAAGAAAACACTTGGTTGAAAGAAATAACAGACTGAATCACATTGTTTTTTATTCCTGTATCCTTTTCTTGGTGGCGATGACTTTGTTTCTCTTTCTTATTTTTCATGATTTCATGAAATCTTCTCCAAACCCTCAATTTTAGGATGAGAATGAATCCACTCATAGCATTTTTTTTCTGGCCAAAATCAAAAGGGAGAGAAAGCATGCAACGAATTGCAAAGATAACTCCCTTTATTGAAATAGTAACTCATAACAAAACGGCTCCACAGCATATGGGATGCTGGAGGCTCCAAACTTGAATGAAGACCCCCCCATCCTTCAGAGTCCAAATGTTTCAGACAACACGGCTTGGGATCAAGGATGTTGGGAACTGATCACAGCCTGTGATCAAGGATATTCTCCACACAACACAACAGCCTTCTGACTCACTTTTTTTCACCTCTTCATCACCGGCCGGAAAGCTGTTCTCAGTTTCTCTTTATGTTGACTGAGGCAAACATCACTCAGGTCCAGAGAACTTTGAGCAGCCCGGATGCTCCTCCTAAATCCTGTCATAACAGAGAAATGGAAACTTCTCTCAGCTTTGGATGAATTGGCTCACCCAAAAAATCCTAGGCTACATTCAGACATGCAAAGTTGCTTTGGTTTACAGAGCCCATCCTTGAGCAGAAGAACCTTGAATTCACATAAGTATTTATTCATACAAAAGGACTGGTAATTGTCATGGATTCAGGCTTCTTCCTATAGTATCTCCTACAATGTTCTAATGACTCCAGGGAGGCCCAGAGATGCTTTCAGAGGAGGCAAAGAAGATTGGTCAGTTTCTATCCATTTTTCTAGGAGTGCATTTTCTGCTAGGAATGAAGGTCCATTCATGAGATCTTTGGAACCAACTCATCCCGCTTTCTCTGAGTGAACATTTCCCTGGTTGCATCCTACCATTAAAACCAGCTATAATGAAACCGTACAGAAATAATTATTTCTGTGAACTTGCTTTTGGATACTGCCTGCTACATCTCTAAACAATTTCCTAGAGAAGATCCCATCTGTATTTCACTGACCTCAAGGTGATTCAGGATGGGATGTGAAAAATATCTATATGTTACTTATATGTAAGGGTGTAGGTCTATACATATCTTGTATATAGTATGTTTTAAATGTGTGTCATGTATGTGTACACTTTGAGAGCCAGCAACTCAATTTCATTTTTAATGTGTGCCGTTGTGCCTACAGGAAAAAATGACAACACAGATGATCTAACCTAATCTAAAAATAAGATAAACAGTGCTTTTTTTAACATATTGCAGAAAATGGTGTCGTGGTAGAAACAACTGAATGGAAGAATGACAATAACAATAACAGAGATATCAGTACAGTTTTGAATTAATTCCAATATGTTATACCCCATTACTCCAAGGTTTCTTTTAAAGCCCTAAATACTTATTTGTTTTCTGTTGCATTGTCTTTTTAGATAAATATACAAAAGATTTCTGAAGACGTATTTAGCACTTTTTACTACTTTTCTGAGCAAGATAGAATAATATTACTGTTTATTGCTACTGTGAATTGGTTTAATGATGACTGATGACCTCCTTAATTTAAGGCAGAGGTGTCCAACTCTGGCACCTTTAAGATCTGTGGACTTCAGCTCTCAGAATTCCCCAGTTGAGCATGGCTGGCTGGGGGATTCTGGGAGTTGAAGTCCAGAAGTTTTAAAGTTCTCAAGGTTGGACACCTTTGATGTAAGGAGACTATATCAAGACATTGTTCCCAAATGGCTCTATTCACTTGCTTCAAAATTTGTGTTATGCCTCAGAAGGGTTGATCATAGAATTCACACTGCAATTGGGGTGTTTTATATAGAAATGCTTAGGGGAGAAAAAGGTAACCAAAGCCTACTATTTCTCACAGTGGCCATATACCACTGTGATGGCAAACCATAGAAAGACCAAATTGCAATTTCCCACTCAATCCTTTGGGATAAACAACAACAGCAGCAGCAAGAAGCGGTGAATGCTCCAACACTGGAAGTTTTTAAGAAGAGACTGGACAGCCATTTGTCCGAAATGGTATAGGGTTTCCTGCCTAAGCAGGGGGTTGGACTAGATGACCTCCAAGGTCCCTTCCAACTTTACTACTACTACTACTACTACTACTACTACTACTACTACTACTACTATTATTATTATGTAGTTAATTTTAAAAAATAAAATAAAAAAGGGAAATTGGTTGCTTGCCCGATTTAAGGTGTGAAGTATCCATTTGCTAATTATAAGCTGAAGCTTGTTCTCCCCACATCAGTCGAGAAAAGTTAAATTTAATTTGGTGCAAGCCATCACATTTCACATGTACATTAGCCAATTTCACTGGAGTTGTAGGTAACGATAACACATTTCTGGATTAGACCCTAAACTGGAGGTTTCTTCCCACCCATGATATTCCTCTATGCAATTCCAAAGTTGAGCTTCAAAGCTTACATTCTTCAACCCCTTTCAAAATAAGCAGGGAGCCCTATTTCCTTCATGCTGCCAAAACTGAGACAAGGATGCCAGACCCATAATTACTTCAGAAAATAACTAAGTGTTCATTGGTTTCTCTTGAGTTTAAACGTCTGTGTTGGACTTCTGGGCATTACATGAACTTCTTTCTTTTGCCAAACTAAGGACGGTCTGAAAATAAAACAAGATGAAAAGGCTGCCAAGGTAACTACCTTCTGTTCCTGTTGCATACTGACATGTCTCCCCTAGCATGGGGTAGGACGCATAGTTTAGTGCAATGGACTGTAGGTTGAAGGTTGAACTCTTAAAGATCTTAGCTGGTGGTGGCAGCTCTTCCAAGGCCTTCTCATGAATGGGTTGAGTTCTGGCAAGGTTGCCCAATGGCCTCGCTTCACGGCATTGTCCGTCAGTCCCAGAGCACCTTCCCCTGAGCACCAAACAATCAGGGCTCTCTGTCCTTGGAGCAGGGTGGCTGGCGGACCCCACAATCATGTTGGCTCCTGCCGTATGAGCGAGGGACCAGATGCGTGGCTTCTCTGGAGTTTCGTAGAGCTGGTCTTGAGTTGCAAGACTTCCTGCTGTGTTACTCTCCTTGTGGCCAAGAAAGCCCCCTGTAATGGGGGAACGTTGCTTGGCGCATGAAAAAGCATGAAAATGACTGGCTGAGCTCCCAGTACAGCTGTTCTTCTCAGACTCGGTCAATGCTCTGCCAGTTAGGAGGCCATCCTTCAGCTCATCTTCAACCTTCAGGCCTGGTTCCTCCTCGTCTAAGTCCTCCAGATCGCTCAGTTGCAACTCCTTTTCTTCTTTGCAGATTTTGGGGTCTATGGTTTGAAATAAAAAGGAATAAAGAACGGGAAAACAGTCACCTTAAGGAGTTAATTAAGAGCAAGTCAAGTTGGTTTTACGTATAGAGATGTCGGTAATTTGGCTTCTCGGGGACTACCACAAAATAGCCTAATAACATCATCCCACCAAGAGGACAGGGTAGGGTATTTTTTTCCTGTAGAGATAAGAAACTGAGTCATAATACTTAAAAACAAACCCTTACAATCAGACGAAGGTGATTACAATTCAGGGTCGAAGGCAGATGCCAGAGAGAAGGGCAAACAAAGAAGTAAGTGATTCTCCTTAAAAATGATCCAGGATAGGAGTTCAAAATCAGGGCTGGGAACATTTGCCTTCCAGATGTTGGATACCAAGTACCATCATCCTTAAGGGGCTGTTCTGACAAGGCCTGATGGGAGCCAAAGTACACACAATCTAGGGCAGTGGTTCTCAACCTTTTTAATGCCGCGACCCCAACCGGTCGTACGTTGAGGACTAAACCGGTCGTAGGTCGAGGACTAAACCGGTCGTAAGTCGAGGACTAAACCGGTCGTAAGTCGAGGACTAAACCGGTCATAAGTCGAGGACTAACCCGGTTGTAAGTCGAGGACTACACAACCGGTCGTAAATCAAGGACTTTCCCTGCCCGGGAGCGCCGTGCATGCATGGTTCCGCCCCCTGCGCCAGCCGAGGCGTAGCTGGCAAGCGGCAGAGACGGAGCAGGCTGACCACCAGCTGGCCCAGCCCAAGGGAGGTAAGGCACCCGCCAGAAAAGGGGGAAAAAATGGCGGACAAAAAAAATGGCGGACAGCCTTGCTTGGCGACCCCCATGAAATGGTCGATCGACCCCAAATGGGGTCCCGACCCACAGGCTGAGAACCACTGATCTAGGGTATTCCAAGTGGTTTAACTGGGAATTAGAATAAGGACATTGGAAGGTGGGGAAGATCCCAACTTCAAAATGTTGGGGAAATGGTTGATTTCAGCCAGTCTTCTAGAACTTATGAAGTCATCTCCTTGGCCAGCGTAGAGCGTCAACTGCTGTACTGAAAGGACTTTAGGATGGAACATCTCTGATATTCTGTTATGCAAATTTATCTCCCATTTCTAGGGAGGAAAAAAAAGGATACTACCGTTCCACACGTACCTTTGTCTTCATTGTCGCTGCTACAGTCTTCCCCGTTCCTTCCCCGTTCCTCCCTCTGCTCGTCTCCCATTTTATTTTTAGGAGACCAGGTCATCTTGTTCTCTTTCTTGAGTCGCCGGCGGGCGTTGGCGAACCAGGTGGAGACCTGGGTGAGGGTCATTTTGGTGATGATGGCCAGCATGATCTTCTCACCCTTGGTCGGGTAAGGATTTTTTCGGTGTTCATATAACCATGCCTTGAGGGTGCTGGTGGTTTCCCGGGTTGCATTCTTGCGTCTGGATGAATTGCTAAAGTCCACTGTTCCATACCTAAACAGGCAGATGGAAATGAGCTGGGATGACTTCTTCCAAGGCCCAAAACACAAAGCTTCACAGACTAGCCAAAGAAAGGAGGAAGTTGTCCCAACATAACTCCTAACGCTACAAAAGAGAGGGGTTTGTTCTCTGTTTATGTACTAGTGGCCTCACAGCCTAATCAAGGAATTATCAAGAACACGCCCAACAACATTGACAGGGCAAGCCACTAGTGTAAAATAGAGAGCAAACTCTACCACTGATGACGTTGGATAATGAAACATCTGCAAGAAACCAAGTTCAGAGAGTACCAAGGACCCCACAGTCCTCCTCCTCCTCCTCCTCTCCACAAACCTCCCTCTCTTCTAGCACTGATGATGTTACCTAGTTGAGTAATGGCATGCCTGCAAGAGAGCAACCAAATTCAGAGAGCACCAAGGACCCCACAATCCTCCTCCTCCTCCTCCTCCTCCTCCTCCTCCTCTCAAGCTTCCTCTTTCCATTATATATTCAAGATGGACAATATTTAATATTTATTTGCTACGTATACTGTATGTAGGGATGTGGGTCTATACCAGTGTTTCTCAACCTTGACCATTTTAAGGCATGTGGACTTCAACTCCCAGAATTCCACAGCCAGCATTGCTGGCTGTGGAATTCTGGGAGTCGAAGTCCACATGCCTTAAAATGGTCAAGGTTGAGAAACACTGGTCTATACATATGTTGTTCATAGTATGTTTAGGTGTGTGTCATGTATATGTTTCACTTGAGAGCGGGCAACTAAATTTCATTTTTGATGTGTGCCATTGTGCCCATAGTATAAAAATGACAATAAAGGTTATCTTATCTTATCTTATCTTATCTTATCTTATCTTATCTTATCTTATCTTATCTTATCTTATCTTATCTTATCTTATCTTATCTCCTCCTCCTCCTCCTCTCCGCAAACCTCCCTTTCTTCTAGCACTGATGATGTTACCTATTGGGTAATGACACGTCTGCAAGAAAGCAACCAAGCTGGGAGAGCACCAAGGACTTGTCAACTGGGTCTGGAACAGAGCTACTGTGCCAGACCTAAGGGCAAAACCTCTTACCTGTCATACTGCCCAAAAGAATGGTCGTAAGAATAGTAGGCTGCTGCTGTTGGTTGAGCAATGCCTGCATGTAAAGCCGGTGAGCTGTCCTTCAAGTCATACTGAGAATTCTAGAAGGGGGGGGGAAACCAGGTAAAAGGCTAAGCGTGTGCATCCACCTCTTTCGTACCCCCATCCCCCAAGTTCCAATGTAGAAAGCAGGTACATACATTGCACTGAACTATTTTGTGGGTTGTTTCATTTCTGGCTCAGTGCCTAAGCATGGAGGCAGCAATCAATTATTTGGAGTCCTGCAGATCTATAAAACTTATTCAACAAATATTCAGCAAACCACGACTGAAGGGCGTGGCGGAGTGAATCATGGTTTAACATCACACAAATCATGTTTGAGCAGGGGATTGGACTAGAAGACCTCCAATGTCTCTTCTGTGATTCTGTTAAGTACTAAACAAGGACAAATCAAAAAGTGAACAAGACTTCTCTTTATACACCAGGATCTGGGTCTGCCATGTCTAATCGCTTACTATGAAGGAGTGGCATCCTACTGAGTTTAATGGGCCTTGAAAGCTTGCTTAGAATTGGGCATTTCTGATAGGCAGGTGACTCAGGGCAGAGCCAGGCGTTCTGCTTTCTCTTCCTTTTCCTCTTTCTCCCCACCTCTCTCTGTTCCTTTGCCAGACAGAATAGTCTTCTCCTCTTTTTGTTATTTTTATTTGAACTCTCTGGAGCTGATTTTAAAAAGAGGTTGGTAGACGGAGGAGGAGGAGGAAGAAGAGGAGGAAGAGAAAGAGAAGGAAGAGAAGGAGGAGGAGAAGGAAGAGGAAGAGGAGAAGTAGAAGGAGGAGGAAGATAAGGAAGAGGAAAAGAAGGAAGAGGAGGAGGAGAAGGAAGAGGAGGAAGAGGAAGAGGAAGAGGAGAAGGAGGAGGAAGAGGAAGAGGAAGAAAGAGGAGGAAGAGGAAGAGGAGGAAGAGGAGAAGTAGAAGGAGGAAGAGAAGGAAGAGGAGAAGGAAGAGGAGAAGGAGGAAGAGAAGGAAGAGGAGGAGGAGGAAGAGAAGGAAGAAGAGGAGAAGGAGGAGGAGGAGGAGGAGGAGGAGGAGGAAGAGGAGGAGGAGGAGGAGGAAGAGGAGGAGAAGGAGAGGCCCTGCCTCCAAGTCACTTACAACCCAAAGTTATTAATAAAACTGATAGGTCGCCCTAACGTCCCTAGATACCTGTCATATTATTTGCCATTCTTGCTTGTCTTGTTTCTTCTCCCTGACTTCACTAGATCTCCCTGAAGATAAATGAGGACAAAACTGAAAACACCCTCTGGGTAAATGGATCTGATCTCTGTCTACTTGCCAGAAGGTTCTCCAGGGGTTCTTGGAGGGTCCCTCCCCCTTCCTCCCCCCCCCATCAACTCCACGTGGGACCTTGGTACCAAACGGGCTTGGGAGAAGCGAAAGTGACTTCCACATTAAGGGTGGCGAAAAGGCAGCCTCGACTCGGCTGGAAGTCCTTCCAGATTTCCGCGAAACGCATTCTCTTAACACGTGTGATTCCCCCACAAACCACGTCTGGCTTCTGAGCAAGACTCGCTTTCTGCTCGGGGAGGCATCAACGCGGTGGAACTGAAACAGGCTTGTTTTTAAGCCAACACCCATTTGGCCTCTGGTGGGAACGGAACGTTTCTGACTTCTGAGACGCCTCCCCGGTCAACAGGGACTAGCGCCCTTGTTTCTGCCCTTGTTCTTCTAGCGACTCGTTGGCAGCGGGAAGGCCACTCACCAACGCGGTGTAGAAACTGGAGGGGTCGGCGTTGTAGGGCAGGTAGTTGGCGTAACCCGGGTTGGCCCCGGCGGCTGCGTAGGGCGAGCCGTAGATCCCCAAGGCCGCGTTGAGCTCCGTTCTGGATCCGGCCAGCAGCCGATTCTCGTAAGAGGGGCAGCCGAGGGTCGCCGGCTGNGGAAAAGAAAGGAAAAAGAAAAAGAAAAAGATAGGGAGAGAGGGGGGAAAGAAGAAAGGAAGGAAGGAAGGAAGATAGAAAGGAAGGAAGGGAGGGAGGGAGGGAGGGAGGAGAAAGAGAAAGAGAAAGAAAAAGAAAGGAAAAAGAAAAAGATAGGGAGAGAGGGGGGAAGAAAGAAAGAAAGAAAGAAAGGAAGGAAGGAAGGAAGGAAGGAAGGAAGGAAGGAAGGAAGGAAGGAAGGAAGGAAAAGTAAGTTTGGGATTAATTACAAATTCTTCGATTCTGGGAGCCCCTGATATCATCCTCCCCCCCCCCCACACACACACACAAAACACAAGTCAACACGGAGAGATCCAGTTGGCCCAGAAAGCCTGTGAAAGGGGGGAGGGAAGGGGGGGGTGAGAACAAAAATAGCAAAGGGAGCTGGGAGAAAAAAAAACCCGGGTAAATCCAAAGTCAACCACGCAACTCCTCATTCTAAGAATTCCTGCCCCCCTGAATTACTCAGCACTGCGAGAGCGCGGGCGGACTTGCCACCTTGCCAGCCAAAGGGGAAAACTTCAAAGACGCCGCCCCCACCCACCCACCCACCCCGCAAATTATCATGCCCAGCTCGGGGGGAGGGAGAATAGGCAGGTTTACTCAGTGGAGGAACTTCTGGGATCAGCCAGAGTAGGCTGGGTAGAGAGAGGAAGGCTGCTTCATATAAAAGGATGCCTCGAGTGTAGAAAGGGAATAGAAAGAAGAGCGGGGGGGGGGGAAGGGGGGACCAGCATTAGAGTAGAGTAGAGTAGAGTAGAGTAGAGTAGAGTAGAATAGAATAGAATAGAATAGAATAGAATAGAATAGAATAGAAAATATGGAATAGAATAGAATAGAATAGAATAGAATAGAATAGAATAGAATAGAATAGAATAGAATAGAATAGAATAGAATAGAGCTGGAAGGGACCTTGGGGGTCTTCTAGACCAGCCCCCTGCTCAAGCAGGAGAACCTATAACATTTCAGACAAGTAACCGTCTAGTCACTTTTAAAAACCTCGATTTCTGAATTTCTGAATTAACCAAGAAGATTTAAAAAGAAAAAGAAAGAAAAGAAAGGAGGAAAAACTGATGTAGACTCAGGTGTGCAAATAACCGGGGGAGGGGGAGGGGGAGGGCGGAGAAATAGGGATTGGGGGGGGGTTAAAGAGGTTTGGCGATGTTTGCCTGTTTGCGTTGTCATATTTGGGGAGGAATCTCTCATAAGAAATCCACAAAGCTCCCGGATTCCGGCCAGTTACCCCGGAATGAAATCCCCCCCGGAGTCGGAATGTCCTGTTAATCAGAGACCCCGCTGACCCCCGAAGGACTCCGGTTTCAAATCGGGAGTGACTCCCGAGCGAGCCCGTTTCTAAAGTCACAAACTGCGCGAATCTTTTCGCCGAAGTCAACCCAATTTCTAAGTCCGTCCCTTCGACAAACCGCCCTCCGGGGTCCTGGATTGATTGCTCGAACTTTCACTTTCCACCTTCCCGACCCATGAAGGAGAGGAAGAGGGAAAGGGGGGGGGG